ATGATGGTATGTATGTTTTACAGACGACTGTTGTCTTAGCTAGTTACCATATTATGGAACGCTGTTTGGGTGTTTGCTTTGCGTGATAAAAATACACACCTCAAATAAAAACTATTTTACGCATGAAATAACACTATTTGACACGTCAAATAAGCTTGTTGACCAATCAGGACCTGAATATGACTGCACATCACATAATAATTTAACACGTTCATAAAATGTTTACGTAGTTATTAAACATTGCTTACACTATCACTAGTATGTCATATGTTATAGCGATTCACCTATACGTAATATGATGCTAGTAAAGTTATCTCCTGCACCTGCCGCACGAGGCAGACACACTTCCCCAAGCTCTGGGACAGTGCTGGTCAGAAAAAAGCTAGCTAGGTGTTGGATGCAAACAATTTGTTTCCCTCAAAAACATAGCAACACGACCATCTGTTTCAGTAGCTATAGCTAGCTAACTATCTAGCTAGGTTTTATCATCTAAAATACCCCAAATTTATAAGACAGTTTTCGTATTTGGTTGATGATGGTCGGACTCGGTCCGGTCAAGCCACACTAGCCATGCTTATAACGTTAGCTTGAGGTAACAGTAGCTGGCTAGCTTGTTTAGTTCGTTATCTAGCTACAGTGAGGGAAAAAGGTATTTGATCCCCTGCTGATTTTGTACGTTTGCCCACTGACAAAGACATGATCAGTCTATAATTTTAATGGTAGGTTTATTTGAACAGTGAGAGACAGAATAACAACAAAAAAATCCAGAAAAACGCATGCCAAAAATGTTATAAATTGATTTGCATTTTAATGAGGGAAATAAGTATTTGACCCCTCTGCAAAACATGACTTAGTACTTGGTGGCAAAACCCTTGTTGGCAATCACAGAGGTCAGACGTTTCTTGTAGTTGGCCACCAGGTTTGCACACATCTCAGGAGGGATTTTGTCCCATTCCTCTTTGCAGATCTTCTCCAAGTCATTAAGGTTTCGAGCCTGACGTTTGGCAACTCAAACCTTCAGCTCCCCTGCACAGATTTTCTATGGGATTAAGGTCTGGAGACTGGCTAGGCCACTCCAGGACCTTAATGTGCTTCTTCTTGAGCCACTCCTTTGTTGCCTTGGCCGTGTGTTTTGGGTCATTGTCATGCTGGAATACCCATCCATTACCCATTTTCAATGCCCTGGCTGAGGGGAGGAGGTTCTCACCCAAGATTTGACGATACATGGCCCCGTCCATCGTCCCTTTGATGCGGTGAAGTTGTCCTGTCCCCTTAGCAGAAAAACACCCCCAAAGCATAATGTTTCCACCTCCATGTTTGACGGTGGGGATGGTGTTCTTGGGGTCATAGGCAGCATTCCTCCTCCTCCAAACACGGCGAGTTGAGTTGATGCCAAAGAGCTCGATTTTGGTCTCATCTGACCACAACACTTTCACCCAGTTTTCCTATGAATCATTCAGATGTTCATTGGCAAACTTCAGACGGGCCTGTATACAGTGGGGGAAAAAAGTATTTAGTCAGCCACCAATTGTGCATGTTCTCCCACTTAAAAAGATGAGAGAGGCCTGTAATTTTCATCATAGGTACACGTCAACTATGACAGACAAATTGAGAAAAACAAATCCAGAAAATCACATTGTAGGATTTTTAATGAATTAGCAAATTATGGTGGAAAATAAGTATTTGGTCACCTACAAACAAGCAAGATTTCTGGCTCTCACAGACCTGTAACTTCTTCTTTAAGAGGCTCCTCTGTCCTCCACTCGTTACCTGTATTAATGGCACCTGTTTGAACTTGTTATCAGTATAAAAGACACCTGTCCACAACCTCAAACAGTCACACTCCAAACTCCACTATGGCCAAGACCAAAGAGCTGTCAAAGGACACCAGAAACAAAATTGTAGACCTGCACCAGGCTGGGAAGACTGAATCTGCAATAGGTAAGCAGCTTGGTTTGAAGAAATCAACTGTGGGAGCAATTATTTGGAAATGGAAGACATACAAGACCACTGATAATCTCCCTCGATCTGGGGCTCCACGCAAGATCTCACCCCGTGGGGTCAAAATGATCACAAGAACGGTGAGCAAAAATCCCAGAACCACACGGGGGGACCTAGTGAATGACCTGCAGAGAGCTGGGACCAAAGTAACAAAGCCTACCATCAGTAACACACTACGCCGCCAGGGACTCAAATCCTGCAGTGCCAGACGTGTCCCCCTGCTTAAGCCAGTACATGTCCAGGCCCGTCTGAAGTTTGCTACAGTGCATTTGGATGATCCAGAAAAGGATTGGGAGAATGTCATATGGTCAGATGAAACCAAAATATAACTTTTTGGTAAAAACTCAACTCGTCGTGTTTGGAGGACAAAGAATGCTGAGTTGCATCCAAAGAACACCATACCTACTGTGAAGCATGGGGGTGGAAACATCATGCTTTGGGGCTGTTTTTCTGCAAAGGGACCAGGACGACTGATCAGTGTAAAGGAAAGAATGAATGGGGCCATGTATCGTGAGATTTTGAGTGAAAACCTCCTTTCATCAGCAAGGGCATTGAAGATGAAACGTGGCTGGGTCTTTCAGCATGACAATGATCCCAAACACACCGCCCGGGCAACGAAGGAGTGGCTTCGTAAGAAGCATTTCAAGGTCCTGGAGTGGCCTAGCCAGTCTCCAGATTTCAACCCCATAGAAAATCTTTGGAGGGAGTTGAAAGTCCGTGTTGCCCAGCGACAGCCCCAAAACATCACTGCTCTAGAGGAGATCTGCATGGAGGAATGGGCCAAAATACCAGCAACAGTGTGTGAAAACCTTGTGAAGACTTACAGAAAACGTTTGACCTGTGTCATTGCCAACAAAGGGTATATAACAAAGTATTGAGAAACGTTTGTTATTCACCAAATACTTATTTTCCACCATAATTTGCAAATAAATTCATTAAAAATCCTACAATGTGATTTTCTGGATTTTTTCCCCTCATTTTGTCTGTCATAGTTGACGTGTACCTATGATGAAAATTACAGGCCTCTCTCATCTTTTTAAGTGGGAGAACTTGCACAATTGGTGGCTGACTAAATACTTTTTTCCCCCACTGTATGTGCTTTCTTGAGCAGGGGGACCTTGCGGGCGCTGCAGGATTTCAGTCCTTCACGGCGTAGTGTGTTACCAATTGTTTTCTTGGTGACTATGGTCCCAGCTGCCTTGAGATCATTGACAAGATCCTCCCATGTAGTTCTGGGCTGATTCCTCACCATTCTCATGATCATTGCAACTCCACGAGGTGAGATCTTGCATGGAGCCCCAGGCCGAGGGAGATTGACAGTTCTTTTGTGTTTCTTCCATTTGCGAATAATCGCACCAACTCTTGTCACCTTCTCACCAAGCTGCTTGGCGATGGTCTTGTAGCCCATTCCAGCCTTGTGTAGGTCTACAATCTTGTCCCTGACATCCTTGGAGAGCTCTTTGGTCTTGGCCATGGTGGAGAGTTTGGAATCTGATTGATTGATTGCTTATGTGGACAGGTGTCTTTTATACAGGTAACAAGCTGAGATTAGGAGCACTCCCTTTAAGAGTGTGCTCCTAATCTCAGCTCGTTACCTGTATAAAAGACACCTGGGAGCCAGAAATCTTTCTGATTGAGAGGGGGTCAAATACTTATTTCCCTCATTAAAATGCAAATCAATTTATAACATTTTTGACATGCGTTTTTCTGGATTCTTTTGTTGTTATTCTGTCTCTCACTGTTCAAATAAACCTACCATTGAAATTATAGACTGATCATTTCTTTGTCAGTGGGCAAACGTACAAAATCAACAGGGGATCAAATACTTTTTTCCCTCACTGTAGTTAGTTATTTTCATGAACTGAAGGTCGATTTCAATAGGAGAACAACAAGTGGCTGCCTAGCTAATACTTAGTCACATGGATTCCCAAATCATTGATAAGAATATTGAAAATGATTGCAGTTACTGGTTGCATTGGTGCTAGCTAGGTATCCCAGAAGTTGCTAAAACATTTATATCAAAGATATTTGTGAGTTTCATACTGCAAACCGAAGTCAACATAGTAGGGAAACGGCCTACCTCCAGTTTACAAACTGTCATCAATGTTGACAAAATGCTTGATTATATTTCTGTATTTTGACTAGGACACAGATAGAACAATACAAATATTGGGCTAGGATGAATCAGGTGCAACTGCTTGGGATACGGCAGGCAGCAGTAGCAGAATCAGGATCACCATCCTTTCTCCCCTGCCTCTGTGGTGGTTGCGGTGGTTGCATGTAGGGGAGAATGTTGGACTACCGAGCTAACATTTTTTTTGATCCTGCTCGTTTGATCCTGATCTTAATTCAAATGCTCACACAGACGTTTTTCAATTTGGTTGAACAAGATGGGTTGGTTGTTCAGCAACAGAAACGATGCGCGTGCAACCATGGGGCAAAACAGATGAGGTTGGCTTAGATGGTTGACAACGTGTAAGCTATATTTCGTCACCAATGTTTATTGAAAACATAAATACATGTGCACAATGACCATTTGTTGTCTCTTACATTGTTAAAGTTGTTGGTTAGCTAGCTAGCGAATTTTAGCCATATTAGCATTAACATTAAATCAGTCAAAATACCTCAAAACAAGACATGGTATCAATAACAAGCTGAAATTAGCCACACGATTCCCCACGTGGCAGTTTCTTGTCATTCTTGCTAGCAATCTGGCCATCCAGAATCACAACAACAGGCTGACTTCTGCCCAATGGATGCGCACATCATTTTCGTGACGTTGTCAGCCAACCCATCTATTACCAACGCAGCATTATAAACACATTGTGGCCGGTGTGTGTGCTTGTTAGCAGATGTAATATATATGTTTTACATTATTAGCTAGGCATAGCTATCTAGCTAACGTAACAACGAACTAATGTAGAGTGTGCATGGTATTCATATTAGTATAATCCTGAACATCTCCTGCACACAGTAAACTTGTTTCTATCATTTTTCAGGTGTTGCCTGTGTGGGGCCTCACACTCCCTCTTCCCGCTGTACTGATGATTGTTGTTGGTCTTTACATTATTTTCCTTGCAATGGCGTTATGGTTCCGCCAATGCCTCAAGGTACAGCATTTACTTCCCTATCCCTATATGCTGTTGTCTAGTTGAGAGACAGTATGCTGTTGTGCACAGATACCTTGCAAATGTTGCTAAAAAAAAGAGTGCAGTTCAACAAAGCCAGGAAGATGAACCTTGCTGAATCAAATATATTTTTTAAATACTTAAAGTGAGAGGCACTGATGCTGCAGATAGGTTTGGCTGACGTTGCCTTTTTTAATGTTGGCCCCAAAATGTATTGACCTAGCAAACTGTCTCCACCATAAGCTCCAGCAGCAAATGGAGATATGGTTTGACTGGTGTGAGTGATGTTAATTCATTCATGGCCTCTTGCCCTACAGGAGCAGTGTTGTCCTGAGTGTGGTGACTGCTGTCCAAATATCGCCCCATTCGATTACTGTTTAGCATGTGCAGAGTCGTGCAACTGTCGCATGCCATCACTGCGCTCGTGCCTTGACCAGACCTGCCCCTCAACCTGCCACGCTCTTCCTAATGTGAGTAAAACCCCTGAGTGTGTGACTGATCAGGGTTTGAATCACTTGTTCTTACCCTCTGCTTTGTTTCCCCAAAGTGTAACATGTGGGACTGTGCTTGCACCTGCCAACCCCCAGAATGTGAGTCCTTCAACTGCCTCTGCTTCGAGATCAAATTTAGATAGAGGGAGAAACGGAGGAGCGGTAGGATTGAATGATGAATCCTAACTCAAGACGCACAGCATGTTTGCATATTCACACCTTGATGTTAATGGACAATTTGTGCAAAAGTAAGGAGTTATGCGTTCATCCCTAGATAAATGGAAAGGGAAGACAGGGTGGGTTACTGTATTTATGTACCAATATGAAAATACAATCTGAATCCTTTTAACACACATCCTTAAAGTCAAAGGCTACAACCAGTTTATGGATAGTTGTGACATATGTGTCCAAGAGAGAACAACATTATTAGAGTGCTATTACAATATAGGGCATCTACTTTCATTACAGCACAATTACAATTCTGTGCCTCTGCAGCAATCAAATACACTGAGTGTACAAAACATGAAACACACCTGCCTAATATCGAGTTGCCCCCTTTTGCCCTCAGAACAGCCTCAATTCGTCGGGGCATGGTCTCTACAAGGTGTCAAAAGCGTTCCACAGGGATGCTGGCCCATGTTGACTCCAATGCTTCCCACAGATTGTGTCAAGTTGGCTGGATGTCCTTTGGGTGGTGGACCATTCTTTATACACACGGGAAACTGTTGAGCATGAAAAACCCAGCAGTGTTGCAGTTCTTGACACAAACTGGTAGGCTTGGCATCTACTACCATACCCTGTTCAAAGGTACTTCAATCTTTTGTCTTGCCCATTTACCCTCTGAATGGCACACACACAATTAATGTCTCAATTGTCTTAAGGCTTAAAAATCCTTCTTTAACCTGTCGCCTTCCCTTCATCTACACTGATTGAAGTGGATTTAACAAGTGACATCAATAAGGGATCATAGCTTTCACCAGGATTCACCTGGTCAGTCTATGTCATGGAAAGAGCAGGTGTCCTTAATGTTTTGTACACCTGTAGCTGATGTAATACTTACATGATTACAGGCCTCCTGTAGCTCAGTTGGTAGAGCATGGCGCTTGCAACGGCAGGGTTGTGGGTTCGTTTCCCATGGGGGGCCAGTATGAAATATGTATGCACTCACTAACTTTAAGTCGCTCTGGATAAGAGCGTCTGCTAAATGAGTAAAATGTAAATGATGGTTTTAGTTGTTCCCTAATTCATTAATCAGTTATTTTTATCACATTTACACTCAAGTTTATTCACAATACATATGTATATACTGTAGCTTTGACGCAGTGGACTTGTACTTTTTTTCCTGATGAAATATATTGTGCGGTTCTTCTTTTTCTCAAAATATGCACAATATTGTGACATTTCCTCAGTATGGTCCTCTCCCAGCCTCAAGCAACATAAGACTGTCAGTCCCATCATTATTTCGCTAATAACAACTGTCACATGAGCCCTGCCACTTGACAATGACCACTGTCCCAAATCAATGGTCAATACATTCCAAAGTACCAACACAGGAAAGAAAATGTGTTGCAGTCAGCTGAGTTGCCTGAAAACCTACACACTTTGGCTCAGTTACAGCAGGAAGTTCACTTGAGGCAAGAATTATCACAATAAGTGGGACTGGTGGTAAACCTACGTTGTCTGTAAGTCAAACAACAAAACATTGCTTTGGTTTGTGGAGAAAGGCACCCAAATGCCATTGACTGGGTTGTTCCAGGTGACATCCTGTCATGAGTGTGGCAGGTGGAGGATAGTACTGGGGGACAGATAGTGAATTCTTCCTCCTTCAGCAGTAGAGCTGGGTTTACCCATCCTCTAAGGTTACCAGGTTTAAGTTTAGTTCATCGAAGTGTGCAGTGAGTGGATTGAATCACTTCTTTCTAGGGCATTTTATTGTCATTCCCTTTGCATAACTTTTCTGTGTGGTCTAAGTGATGTGAGTTTATAACACACCATCTCTCTCTCTGTTTCTCTCGGACTCATACTACTCTTCTATAGCCAATCATGTAATCTTTTGGTTTATAGTTTGTGACTTTTTCGTATTAGGTTAGGAGAATTAACGTAGAAGGTTAGGAGACTGAGGTTAAGGTAAGGAAAGGGGTTAGGGTTAGCGAAAATGCTCTCCTAATCTGCTACGAAAATAACTTTGTATCGAAATACCTTGAAAAGAGTGTGTCCCCTGTGGAAACAGCATCGGTCAGTATGTGGTCCCCTGGGCAGCACAGCGAGCCAGAGTGTATTATGTAACATGGTGGTCTGACTGCGCCAGAGGAAGGTCACATTACACACAGACTGAATTCAATACTACCAGTGCAGAGTTTTGGAAATGTTTAGGAAACGTTGTTACAATGTGTGATGATGGTGCTAAGTTGTTGCACCAATGGTGGCTAAGGCTGAACATCAATATGACCAAACCAAACCAGCACATCATGTTCCACACCAGTAACATGGAGGGAGGGATGGGTGACATGGAGGGAGGTATGGTTGAAGGAAGCAAAGGAGAGCAGAGTTAGAAACTACATTTACATTTACATTTTCGTCATTTAGCAGACGCTCTTATCCAGAGCGACTTACAAATTGGTGCATTCACCTTATGATAGCCAGTGGGACAACCACTTTACAATATATATATTTATTTTTTTGAGAGGGAGACAATTAAGTAATGTATGGTGATGATGATGCACATTGAGCATGACAATGCTATTTTGAGCATTCAGAGTTAGTTTAGAGTTGGCTACAGTAGGTCTATAATAGGACATCTTTTGAATAGCTTTGCTGCCAGTAGTCTTCTGCACATCTTGCATCATCATATTGTATTTATCGTATATAGTAGGTCTAGTAATTCAATTCAATTGATTATTATGACCAAGGTTTATTCTTATGCTATGTAAACTATCATCATCATGAACAGTCTCAAGCCAAATCAGCAGCAACATGTTGATAACATCCCTGAAGTTTCAATTGAAAAGGCTTATTATTCATAGTAGGCCTAGATTGAGGATAATGCTGCTTCTATGGTGCAGTCGTGACTCAATGCGGCACCACTGCAATTTAGTGCCTTTCTGCTGTGGCTGTATATCACGGGCATGTTAAGAGCATGCATTATTCACGTGAGAACCGTCACGTACATTATCACAAATCCTTCCACCCCGTTATTCCCAAAACACGCCTTATTTCTCTTCCGTCACTCAAAAGAACAACCCTTGGATGCAAGTGAGCCAACCACCGTCACAGAAAGAAAAGTGTTTTCTCCAGACAATGGATGGAATGAAATGTCAATCTTTCATAGTGCGTTTTGATTGGACAGTCTCCGAACGTGGCCTGGTGCAAGGCCCTCTTCTTCGTCACTGGCCTCCCCCTGTCGCTTGACATTTAACAATACTAGACATCCTCCTTCATTGCAACAGAACGAATCGCTTCATCCTCAAACCCGTACAGCTTTTGCGCAGATAAACTGGTACGTTTTTTTCCATCAACTAATCCTTTTTTATGTAAGATGATGTCGTTTTCAGCAGACATTACTATATTATTGTATTTATAAGCCTCAAGCTGAATAGGTAAAATATATATATATATATATATATATATATATATATATATATATGAGATGTATGAATGATGTCGTATTTTATTTTATGTCTATAGTTGTTGAAGTATGACTTACGTGTGACTTCCTCTCCGGCAACTCCCAATGTATTACAAGGTCATACGGGATGCAATGGCAAGGACAGACGCGGAAGTAACGCTTGCCATGACTTCACAGGGCATTTAATAACGCGCATATTATGTAAATTGTTAATAGCGCGCAAATAAATCCAGAAATATCACACAAGCTCTCGCCAAAAGACGATCAGAACATCGTGTACACGCCTACATCAACGGATGCCAAAAGCGAATCCCTCACGAACGCACGGCATGTGAAAACTCCATAGAGCGCAACGCACCGGCTATAAGGGAGATTTGGATGCATAATGAGATTTCAAAAGAGTGTCATGTCGTTTTTCACGGTTGAAATGCTCACCAGAATATTTGAGATGCTTTTGTTAGAGAAATCAGACGGTTTCCTCCGATGGCGCACATAGGCAGACCAAGGTAATATTGGGAGACTCATCATGATAACTAGCCTGGGCAGCTGCTGCTAGTGTGTTAACGTTATATCTACTATATCGTCTGGGCTTGATGTACACAGACTGTAGGTAATACACTCGTGTCCCCCCGTCGACAGGTTCGTAGTACACATATTTCCACTTTTTTCGCCTTCTCGCCATTAAATATAGTTAAGGAGGAAATTGAAGCCTTTGCAGCCTGAATGGAGAATGTTTTATGTACGAACCGGTCGCCAGGGGAGTGTATTACCAGCTATGCACATCAAGCTCAGAAGATAGCAGTGGAGATCCATAAAGCGCACTAGCGGCTGCCAGGCTATGATAACCGCTTGGAATGGACACTAAGCTAGCAAGAATGTCAATATGGTTATGATTACCAATGTTAATGTATTTATTAAACACAATACACATAGGTAATTTAGTAGCATAGGCCCAGGCCTATACCTTATGATGCTGCTATGACAGTTGATTGCGTCATTGGTGATAAACCATCCATGCTACAAACACTGAATATATATATATATATATATATAATCCTTTCAACTGAATAATTTATAACAATGATTTATCTCCATGTCTCCCTCACCCCCTCTCTCTCCCTCACTCCCACCTCCCCTCTCGCTCTCTCTCTCTCTCAGAGACACGATGCCTCACTCATTCCCATTCCTCTCTACGGAGCAGAAGAAGGAGCTCAGTGATATTGCTCAGAAGATCGTCGCTCCTGGCAAGGGAATCCTTGCTGCTGATGAGTCCACAGGTAGGGGACTGCCGATGAGTCCACACACACGGATCAGATCACCCACTAAACACACTCCTACATGGCATATCAAAGATGGTGTACGGTGGCCTATAATGGGCTATAACTGACACTGCCAGACTGGCAGAGCCAGAGACCGAGAGATCGCACTATTACATAAAACAACATGCCCTACATAACAAGGCCTACATGTAAAACAGTGCTATCAGAGAGAAGGGTATAAAAATGTATTAAACACAAT